TTTTTTTTTTATTTATTTATTTATTTATTTATTTTTATTTTTATTTTTTTTGCAAATGAATGTCAATTTTTTTAGGAGCCCCTTCTCCAGTGTTATCCCAAAAGTGAAATATCTAGACAGGGGACCTGAGTTACACTCCAAGGATATACTGCACTGCCAGTATGTTTTTCTTTCTTTCTTTTTTTTTTTTTTAAGAAAAGCTTTGAAGAACAGAGCAGCTCTTCTGTGTCTCAGAGCCAGCATGAATTTCTATTCTCAGCAGGTTTCTCAGATGATGCCGCTGATGGCAAAGCTGCATCATCACTGTCAGCTATCCCAGAATTCCTCCTGCTTTGAGAGCGCCAGCTCTGCATGATACAGGAGCGAACAATGAATATCGCACATATCTGAGTCAACAGCTTTAAAAAGACACACACACACAAACACACTCGCACACTCACGCATCTCTACAGTCAATAGTCCCAATGCTTTCTGAAGTTGTAAACTTATGAAACGTCCCATATTAATTTCCATCCCAACTGGAGCAGATAAAAATTTAAATACACCCATTTTAAAAGTATATTTTATTTTATACAAACAATAGTGCATATGAAATATTTAAAATGCACATATTTACACAATGAATTTAAGTAAATCTGTAAATATTTCACATCTGTTCTCTGCAAGCAGAGTGTTTTTTTTTTTCACAGCAGATAATTTCATTCCATATGAACTTAGAAGTCAACATGAAACCAAAACTGACCCTAATTACATAATATGCACAGCTGGTCTTATAGTACATGTTATTCTTAAGAAAACGTTCTCTGTAAACTTTCATCAAAATGTAATAACTCGCTCCACCTAGGCTGGTACTAGTTAACCCTTCAGTATCAGATACAAAAAATTAGTCTGCATTCAGTTTAACTGTCATGAACATTTTACAAACTGTCAAAATAATACCAATGTGAGTAAGATTTTATTGGTTTGGCGTTAAAAGTCTGTGAGGTCTGTTAAGCAACACATTACAGCTTTCTGATTGATTGATTGATTTAGTTGTTTGTTTATTTATTTGTTTGCTGTGAATTCAAAGCATTCGGTGATAAAAAATGATCACTGGATCTGGAAACACTTAATTTTAAAGTGACAGTACATATGTTACATGCACTTACTATATAATAACAGCAAAGTATGCATAATTACAAGAAACTAACCGTAAAACAAACCCTAACCTTAACCCTACAGTAAGTACATGTTGTTAATTAGTATTACTCAGTACTTATTTGTGTAGTAACAATGTCACCTTAAAATAAAGAGTTAACGGCTCTTGATTCTACTGCCATGTTTTACCTTTACCCTTTAAATCCATTTATTTATTTTGCATTTATGCATAGTGATTATTGTGACAAACCACCATGTTTTAACTTAAACAAAAAATATATTTTATAATTAATTGTATAAATTGCCAATCTGTAATGTTAACTTTAAAAGGTGTAAAATGTGTAAGAAATGCCCATATTGAGGTGGTAGACAACAGCAACCATGCGGACCCAGGGTTGCATAGAAACTACAGCTAATACATCATTTTCTATGTGCAAGTTGCTTTTTCTTCTTCTAAACAATACGTTCACAAAAAATGTTCCTACTTGAAACTCTAATGCAAAGCTACACCAAATGTGTCTGAAAGGGTCCTTGTTAACCAGTAGCCAAATAGATATTAGTCAGGCTGTTTCAGGATACTGTTGTTGGTAATGCAGGTGAATTCTGGTCAAAAAGCCTCCTCAAAAGTACATACCAGAGGTGCTTCAAAAGGGAATTATTTCTTTACAAACCACTTCAAACTCAGCTCTGACACAATTGTGTGATTCTAAATCCTTGTAGCAGTTTCTAACTATTTTACCGGTTGTGTCAATCACAGCCTACACAACTCATTAAACCTAATCTGCACCCTAAACGATAACCTCAGTATAGTGCTGGCAGAACATCTGGATATATAGCAGCACTGTTTGTTACAATCAGATCCATGAGTTTTCTGAACTCTGAACCGAATCCATTAGGTCTGAACTTTTCTTTAGAGATGAATGTGTGATTTAGTTTACCGATTTATTCGGCTGTGGCGCAGGGTTTACACTACACAAAAAAAATCATGTGACTTTATCCTGGTATGTGACAGCCATTTCTCACAATCCAGTCAGATCCTGATGGATGGAATCATGTCTCACCCTATGCTTCAGTGAAACTTTTATTTGACCAAATCATAATGCCATTTGCTAATATCTCCTATTCTCCCAAATATAACACATTACAATGGGTTGTGTATAGAGCGCTACAATGATGATGTGTTTTTGTAGGCCAACCTGGAAGGTTGCATCAACTTGATTGAAAATTACAAGTGGGTATGATGTATTTTATGTTGTAGAATAAAACATGAAGGTATCTTGAGTTTGTGTTAAACAGACCTTTATCAGGCATTTAACCAAAAAACCTTTTAAAAAAAAACCATAGACTTCAGGATGGAATTGCTGAGATGCATCTTGTTTCTGGGTTCTGGCCTACAAAAAACACATCGTCCCTGCAGCACTCTATAATCTTTCATGTTGACTTTAAAATTCACGTACAGTTGTTCTGGCACTTTCAGCATTCCCGTCTGATTACAAGTGGGTATGATTTATTTTATGTTGTAGAATAAAACATGAAGGTATCTTGAGTTTGTGTTAAACAGACCTTTATCAGGCATTTAACCAAAAAACCTTTAAAAAAAAAACCATAGACTTCAGGATGGAATTGCTGAGATGCATCTTGTTTCTGGGTTCTGGCCTACAAAAAACACATCGTCCCTGCAGCACTCTATAATCTTTCATGTTGACTTTAAAATTCACGTACAGTTGTTCTGGCACTTTCAGCATTCCCGTCTGACCTGCATCACAAAGGAGCTCCAAACTCAAAACCGCATTTTGCATTTATTTTCTGCTCACGTCGTCCACTCTTGAAACCACCACCAAGAGTTACAACCACCACTTACCATCACTAGCTCACCTGGAGGCAAAGTTTAGCTTTGGATCAAAGTAACCAAGAGTGAGGACACTTCTCAACGACCTCAGTCAAACAATTCCCACGAACCTGTTGATACCGGCGTTCTGGGGACATGTTTGACTGTCCAGCACTGGCCTCAGTTTACCACAGACATCTCCGGAGGTCTCTGGTGAAAGCTCAAAGGCAGTCCCTGCATAGCGCCACCTGGCCGTGGAGGTAGTCTCTGCACGGACAAAGCCGCTGGTGTTTGGCGCTGACTCCAGCGCAACTGAACAGCAGCGGCTCCTTTTGCTGGAAACACTCTCTCCTGTCCACATGTACGGCTGGAAACACGTGGTTCTTCTCCGCTTCTAACGACTCACATTGAGCGTTAAGCCTGAAAAAACACACATTCACACGATTTATCTGTTTCAAAGAACCACAGATGAGAAAAGGGGAAAAAATGCAATCCAGCACAGTGAATAAAGAACAATGACTGCTCATTTTTACAGCGCCCTTGGTTACATTAATATATACACACACACATATATATATATATATATATATTATTTTTTTTATTTTTTGTTTATTTATTTATTTTTTCTTCATAGGGATTGAAAATCTGTCTGCTGTAAACCAAACCATCTGTGAAATGAATCAAAAGATTACAAGCTTTGATTTGAAGCAAAAAAGTGTATGAAAAATGAGAAAAACACAAAGGCACATGGAGGCATAACAATACTGTATATGCCTTTAATAATAAGCATTAACATCACCATTTTCTCTAAAGCTGCTTTAAAATGATGTGCATTGTGAAAAGCGCTATATATATATATATATATATATATATATATAGCCTAAATTTGACTTGACTTTTATGGATGGCCATGTTGGTTTATCATATTGTGACAGATATATTTGAAACATTTATCTCTGCAGCTGTCAATGTAATAGGACATGATAGAAAAGGCTACTTTTCATTCCCTTTGGGTGAGTTTTGAGTTGACTTTGGGCTGGATTTTTTTCTGGGACCTGGCAACCCTGCTGAACGATATACTTTTCCCAGTGTGTATCTGTGCATGTTGTTGGGCTATTGTTGTGCCATTTTCTCATGACTTCACGTTTCTGTGGCTCCAGAGTGAGTAGTCACATGGCATTTTTGGCTTGTGTGATTGGCTCAAAAAATAGACCAGAACTGATAATCCATTAGCAAAGATGGATTTCTGGATATTTCTGGAGGTTGTTAGCAAATGGCATTAAGGCAAATGGAAACTTTAATGGATCAATTTCTCCTTAACTATTTATGTTTTTTTATATTTGTTCTTCAATAGCATTGTGCCTGAAATGCCTACGTACTTGATGTTGTATGTAAGCATTCACTCTCTCCAGCATGCCCTCACAAGTGTACTCGTACGGTATAAAGGGCTCCACCTGTGCAAACGGACAAATGACAAAAGACACAGACAGAAACTTGAGACATTTTTGCAACAAACTTCAACTTATGCACCAAACACATTTTTTATTTTTATTAATTTTTTGTTTGTTTGTTTAAACAAACAGGAAGAATGCTCTAAGAAATCTTGTCGTTTGAAGTCATACGACAGATTTGCATGAAGAACTGTCTCAAATTAATGTTGTTATACAGTAGATGGGAAAACGATAGCAAAAAAAAAACTTTTGCTTATGGCCCATGAAAACTAATGAAGTCAAATTCAATGTGTCAAAGAAAGAAATTAAATTAAATTAAAAATATATGGAATGATGTGAGCATGAGTAAATCAAGAAACAATTGTCATTTGTAGGTGAACTTTTCCTTGACGGAATAGACAAATTTACCTGCCAACAGTTGGTATGCTTCCTATACTTATCTAAGCAAGCAACACATAACAAAAATCTTTCCAGCAAGTCTTTTGAGGAAACAAACATATTACCACTGTGGAAACAAAGTATTAATAATATGATTTTGTTTGCTGCTGACCATTTTAGAAGCACTGACAAAGATTATAATTTGATGACGAATCACTACACGTGAAATGTCGAAACTCAAACCAAGATGAGACTGACTGATATTTTGTGCATCTCTACAACTGAAAACCTTTGTTCTCTACATTCAAAAACATGTTTCTGTCTTTGTTTACTTACCCAATTTTTGCACTGTTGATGAAAAAAAAACAAAAAACCTTCATAGCGATTTCAAACTTTTGAAAGGTACTGTATGTGTTCCTATAACAACGGGACATTTCTGCTAGAAAGCAACTGAAGACTAAACCAACTAAATGGTAAGTTGTGGTATTTAATTGGCACCCATAAGAGATTTATACAACAAAAGTTGAAAGCATCTCCAACTCTTCCTCCTCCAACAACTAGACATTTCTGGATGACTGTATATACATTGCAAGGCAATCAATCAATCAATCAATCAATCAATCAATCAATCAATCAATCAATCAATCAATCAATCAATCAATCAATCAATCAATCAATCAATCAATCAATCAATCAATCAATCAATCAATCAATCAATCAATCAATCAATCAATAAAAGGGGAAAAAATGCAATCCAGCACAGTGAATAAAGAACAATGACTGCTCATTTTTACAGCGCCCTTGGTTACATTAATATATACACACACACACATATATATATATATATATATTATTTTTTTTATTTTTTGTTTATTTATTTATTTTTTCTTCATAGGGATTGAAAATCTGTCTGCTGTAAACCAAACCATCTGTGAAATGAATCAAAAGATTACAAGCTTTGATTTGAAGCAAAAAAGTGTATGAAAAATGAGAAAAACACAAAGGCACATGGCTTTACATATACATTTGTTGAGTACATGAAGCACTGCAAAATAAAAATAAAAACTACTTTGTCTGCTTGGCCAATTTACAAAAGTATCTAATTAGTAATTGATGCATAATTACTGTTGAATAACTCATATTAACTGACCACATATCAACTGTAAATTTAATTTAATTTAATGTATTATACTGCATTATACTTTTTAAAGGTGTAAATATGAATATGTGCATATTATAATGTTAAACAAGGATAGCATTGTGTATTATAATGTATTATACAGTAAGTACAGGTTTTACATAAAGTGTCCCCCAACAAATCAGTGTCTTAACTTCATATTAATTGCAATAATGGCTGCACAATGAACAAATAAATAAATAAAACAACAAACACATTTGTGAAAAAATGCGCATATTCCAGAAATGCCGTTTGTCTCTCACCCATTGAAGGCCTCCATATTGTTGATGAAAGGAAAGTAAGCTGGCTCGCAGATTAGACCGGAATCCCGGCAGGTTTTCACACAGGACGAGGCCTCTGGAGACAGGAAGAGCTGGAGGGCGCTGAGGGGCGGCCAGCAGGCCGGAGCAGTGATGTTCGGAGCCCAGATCAAAGCTGTGGAGTTGGGCCGCTGGAGGAAAGGACTTGGTGGATTCCCAGGCCATGATCTGGATTCATTGGCTGTAGGGAATGGACTGCTGTGGCGACAAAAATCCTGGAAATAAACACAATGTTACTATGACTGAAAACATCTTTGTAAGAGAGCCTTATAATAACTTGTCACTGATAGAGAAATTAAATAATGTAAACTGCTATTTTACAACAATTTTGACATGGTTCAACCAGTCAGTTCTATCAGAATTTATAGTCAAATGTTTGGCCAAAATAATAACAACACTAAGTAAAAAAAACCCAGAGCCCAAAGCTTCCCACACACTATCAATTTAGTCAGAATAAATTCTCACAATAGCATGTTTAAGTCAAAAGAAAGACAAAAAGAAACCGAAAATGAGGCATATTTTTAGGACCATTAACAATTGGACTGACATTTTTTAATTTTCATTAAAATGTAATTTTTGTGTGTTTCTTTTTAATTTAATATTACATTCCCATTATTGTATTAATAAAATAAAATAAAACTAACAATGCAAAGGCTTTAATACTAACCAGACATAAGGCCTTTTCACACATTGAGGCAGTTGACAAAACAGTAGTGCGCACTTCTAATACACCAAATGTTATCATGCATTGGTGTAGACGCTAATATAGTTATCATTATAGTTATCTTTATAATTATCTTTCTTGGTGTTTATAGTCTGTTTACTTAACTCAAAAAAGCTGTATCATATACTTTCAACAGTGTCATTTGGCAATAAATGGATCACATTTTCAATAATCATTATTGCCTTTTAACCTCTATTTAACATTTTCCCCTTTAATTAACTATTGTTTAATTAACTAACACAAATTCATACTCCCAAGGGTCTTCTTTAAAGGAGACACAATTATGCCTGTAATTCAAAGGGGTCATTTTAGTTTCTGGATGTTATTTTCGAGTTTGAGCTCAAAAAGGTGGGAGTGAGTGTTGAAGGTGTGGATCAAAGCATTCAGCGTTGTTCAGGTTCTCAAAAGTGTGCGTTTCATTTTATGTGCTCACATCAAATCCCCGAGGCAACTGACTAGCAAGCTCAGCATATACGTAGTTAGTTCACATCATAGGCAAAAATATGCTTACGCTTATTCTCTTACATTTTTGTCTGCGTGTGCATGTGTGTGTAACACAGATAATAGACTTGCACCGCTCTCAATTCACACACTATCTGTCCTAAATATTATACAGTATAAAGAGAAGTGTGTCCCAAATCATAAAAAAGCAGTGACAGTGTTGCCAGTGTCGCAGTTTTCCCAAACAATTCAGGGGAATGCTACTTATACAATGTACCACAGCTGCCAAAAACTGTTAACTATAGGAAAAATAAAAAAGATGTCCTTTTACTAATGTGTGTTAATCCTTGGAATGAATACCTGAACAATCTAGAAGTTATGTGAGTTTCGCCCACTCAGGGAATTTTAAGGCTGGCTAATTGAGTTTGACATTGTAAATGAATTGCGCATTGAAGCTTGTGTGCAGACAAAACAAGAGAATGTGAAAAGTAAAGAGTATGTAGGCTATTAATAATGGTCTTGACTGAGATCAGAATATAGTTTTTCATTTATTGTAAGATGTGTGCAATCTACAGTACAGTGTGTTAAAAGAATTAGGGGAAGTGCACGCACAATATACATTTTAAGGCAAAAAATTTAAATCAGATAAAAAAAAAAAAATCATCTAAATCTATAATCTGCTAAATGCGTCTATAAGGCATAACAATACTGTATATGCCTTTAATAATAAGCATTAACATCACCATTTTCTCTAAAGCTGCTTTAAAATGCAATCAATCAATCAATCAATCAATCAATCAATCAATCAATAAACATGGACATCCTACATATCTATATATATCCATGCAACAACCTGTGTTACACAGACTGTAACAGAGCTGTAACAAAGAAAACTAGTTTACCTTCTCTTTGAGAATATCTTGAACAGCTGTCTCGAATTCTTGAGAGTTGTTGAAGTCTACTGTTATGACGTGGGGTTTGCCGATATACTGTTCAGTGTATGGGTGCTGAGATGACACCTGATGAGAAGAAGAAAACATGAGTGCTATCTATCATGAGTGCACTACACCGATTCATCAGCTCCAGTTCATTTTCACAGTTCACAGCTTTTGAGGATCTGAAAAGCAGGATTATATGAACAGCAGAATTGTGTGCCATTCAGAAATGAATAGATGGTATAGATGGCTATGTTACATGTTTTAGGAGTACTAAACTTTTAGTTTGGAGAAACCTGTCCAGAAATAAATATCAGGAATAAACACATACTTTAAAGAAAATCCAAATGAATGATATAATACAATTGTGTTAAAGTTGGACTAATTAAAAGTTGTTTGACTTTTTAAAAAAATGTTCTTGCATAATGGCCACTCTTTGAATTGGGAACGGGATACAGTGAGCAGACTGCGCTTACCTCTCTGGACGTGGGCTTCCCTCTGAAGAACTCATGGTTGAGGGAGCTGTGAGGGGGGCTGAACTTTGGCTGCAGGAACACACAGCCATTGGCTATTGCCTCTAATGGGGCGGGACCTTCATAGGGAAAGCCAAACCCCAAGAAAAGCTGAGAGAAAATTAATGTTTAGGATTGTTAGGGTTATGAATTATTAATTACAAGTTTAATCAAATTACTACATATTATCATTAATCAAAACACTGTTAATGACATGTATGAATATTTGATGAGGAAAGTATAAGTGTACATGCAGTAATTGCTCTACTGGTAGAAACATTTCTTAAAATGGAATCTGCAGGAATGTCAGGGGGCATAAGCTATTTTGTAACAAATTAATTTATTGAATATTTTTAAAAAATATTTACTGAATGTATATTTTAACAGTCCTAGTGCTGGTTAGTAACTGATCTGAATTATGTAATCAGATTCCAAAAAAAAAAGTATAATTGCAATTATATGCTCATACTCAAATCACAGTTACTTTTTATGGATTACATGATTACATATTATTCACACGTCAAACTGACTGCATTTGTGTGGCAAAGTTATATAGTTTTGTGAATTATATGTGTACTAAATGTGCACAAGGTAATACCTTTTTAGACTGTTAATGTGCATTTGTAATGCCAAAATTGCTTGTTCATAATATTATGCAAACATATCTGAGTCTACATCTGTATCACTGGGAAAAATTCCCTTTGTATTTTATTTTTTTTTACCATGTATAATTTTGCAATCAACACCGTTGAACAAAAGCACCACTCAATCCTTAGACCATGTATGAGACCAGTAATTACGCAAGTTACTAAACACTTTGTTATTTAAACTGCATTATCGCTTAGATGTGAAAGTCCATCATGCTAATAGTACCTTAGCCTTCCTCAGAAGCTGCTGTAGCTCCTGTTGGGGCAGTAAACCGTGGTTTCTGACAAATGCGGGCACCTCTGGGGGCCGCTGGGCCTCATAGTAAACTGTCCCGTGGATGTCCATGTAACGGTGTAAGATGGTCAACAGCTTCTCCTCACCCTGCAGGAGCATAGAAAGCAAGAAAGAAAGACTAGTGTGTCTCTTGATGCCTCCTACTTATTAGTCCCATATGAGGTCCCTATTTATGAGTTCATAAATTTTAATTACTATGTCATAATGCAGTTCAAATGATTCTGGGAAAAGAAAAGAAAAAATAGATATGTTATTTTGGTCACAAAGCAGCTTAATGAAGTGAAAAGTATGTGCATTGCATTTAATTGTTGCTTTGTCACTATTTTAACATTGTACTGCCACACAGAATTATGGGAAATGTAGTTCAGTCACACTATAGTATGTGGACTTTTCTTAACCAGCTAAATGAATAGTGTTTTCTGGCATGCATTATAGTTGTTTCTAACCAACAGTAAATTAAAAGCATACAAATTGTGCATTAAAGAGTGGATAGTTTCATGTCTGACTTGTGATCAGCACCATGGACAGCGCTTTCACAAAAGCACAGGCTACAGATGAGAGCTGTGAAACTCACTCACCGCTGCGTACAATTACAATACAACATCAGAACCGCTACAGTTTTCCATTAGTATTTCAGGAAAAGTGTTTAATGCTTTTACCTTTGACAAAAAACAGAGCGTCTGATCTGATGTAGCCAGAACCCCCGCAGCAATAATTCACTCCTGTTGTCGCTCAATAAAGAGCTCTGCAGAGCACAACACTTAATTTCCCTGTCTTTGTGTGTGCATATGCATGTGTGTTTTTGCATAGTTTCTGTGCATATTTGACCACAATAGCTGCACAATTCTGATGACAAAACTTATACAAATGGTAGTGACTTAAAGAAGTATTTACACACTGAGTTTTAAATGACATCAGAACCAGCAAGACCACTGACCACAAATACTAGTTTTATTTATGTAAAAGAGTCTGGCTCTCAAGGTGATTCAAATAAGAATATTAGTAAACAGTAGAAATGCCAAAACACATCAGCATCCATTTATTATGCTGGCAAGAAAGCTGAAGAAATTATGTGTTAGGAATTTGTTTTACTCTAATATTGGTTATTAAATCAGCATAAAGCTGATTCTGGACATTTAGATTTCCCATTTGTGTATGCATTTAACTAAAAA